ATATTAACCATGCCTTCACAAGCCTATGTGTTGACTTGTTTAAAAATTATATTACACATGTATATAACTGTATAAAACATTTTGAGCAGGCTAAAATATTTATTCATACAAGAAAAAGGGATCTGAGTACTTTCAAGTTGGATTATGTAGACTTAAATTGTAAACATGAATAATGTTTTGCCTTGCAACTATTATCACATATTATTCCAAAGGCCACATTGAGTGAGCGAAACGTTATTTTGAAGTATGCATACCCCTACACGAAGTGCTCAGATCTCTTTTAGAGTCTATTAACCCCTTAAGGACACATGACATGTGTGACATGTCATGATTCCCTTTTATTTCAGAAGTTTGGTCCTTAAGGGGTTAAAGGATTATTCCAACCCAGGGCTCGAGTCCTGCAGGAACGCGTGGGAACGGCGTTCCTGCACTTTTTTCACAGCAGGAACGCCGTTCCCCCTGCAGGCACTCAGGGGGCGGCAAAAAATGCCGCCCCCAAATGCCCCCCCTTGTTTCCCCTGTCATGGGGGGGGGGCAACCTGATGGATTGCCCCCCGGTGAACAGCTTCCTGTCACACGCGGAGAGGGAGCTGTGTGCTCTCTGCTCCCTCTCGCCGCGCGGGATGTCTGCTGTTGCTGGGAGCCGGGTTGATGACGTCATATTCCGGCTCCCGGCATCAGCAGACATCCCACGCGGCGAGAGGGAGCAGAGAGCACACAGCTCCCTCTCCGCGTGTGACAGGGAGAGAGCCGCCCTCACTGCAGCCCCACTGGACCCCAGGGAAAGGTAGGGATGCTGGGTGGGTGGGAAATGTTAATTTTTTTATAATATTATTAAGTTGTATATATGTATGTCTGTGTGTGGATGTGTGGATGTCTGTTTGTGGATGTGTGGATGTCTGTATGTCTGTGTGTGGATGTCTGTGTGTGGATGTCTGTTTGTGGATGTCTGTTTGTGGATGTGTGGATGTCTGTTTGTGGATGTGTGGATGTCTGTGTGTGGATGTCTGTGTGTGGATGTCTGTGTGTGGATGTGTGGATGTCTGTGTGTGGATGTCTGTTTGTGGATGTGTGGATGTCTGTGTGTGGATGTGTGGATGTCTGTGTGTGTACTTGTGGATGTCTGTTTGTGGATGTCTGTATGTCTGTTTGTGGATGTGTGGATGTGGATGTCTGTTTGTGGATGTGTGGATGTGGATGTCTGTTTGTGGATGTGTGGATGTCTGTGGATTTGTGGATGTCTGTTTGTGGATTTGTGGATGTCTGTGTGTGGATGT